ATTATTATTATTATTATTAATAGTTATAACAACAGTTTAATTATCGATTTATCCGAATTCGCGAACAACTGCAATTGTCTCGTTGTGCCATTTTTTAATAACACCCTTTTTTCTTCCACCCGATTAGCCAATAATATTTTTGTAAATGTTTTTATACGATAAATAAACGTTATTAAAACTTTATAAATACCTTTTTTTTAATATATATTCTCATTATAAACCGTCTCGAAGAATTTGATGACGGAAAATCGAGCGAATAACCGAGAGTAGGCTCCTTTTTTTCAAATAGGTCAAGTAACAACGACTGATTATAACACCTTTTGTGCGCGATTTACGCTCTGATAGTTCTTTTTAAAAGGGGTGGAACCGCACTGTGAGAACCGTCGTCATTTAAATACGTACGCTTTAAATAAATACTTAAAATCCAAGAGTAGTATTTAATATTAAATGAACAAACCTTTTTCCCCCCTCGAATCGTCGACTCCCATTATTAAAGCATTTGTACAGTATAGTAGACCCCCCTATAACACTGTAGATAATTCCGTTTTATATGAATTCCACGTTGTACGAGTCATTTAGATTTTACAAATACGTGAGCCGTTCACACCCCGGCACACGTATTTGTAAAATCTAAATGACTCGTGCAACGTGGAATTCATATAAAACGAAATTATCTACNAGATTAACTGCCTACCTCCAGCCAAACTGATTTGATTATTATTATTATTATTATTATTATTAATAGTTATTAATAATAATATAGCCAATAGACAATCCAGCAGATCATTTGGCAACATGAATATCAGGTAGTTGTTTACTGTGTATAACAACATAGATTTTTGTAATGTATCAGATTATATATATTTTTTAAAAATCTGGCAGATCATTTAATAATACTATAAACATTTGTCACAGGAATCACCATATGTATTTGCTGAAAGTTATGAATAAATTTAGACTATATTTAATAAACTCCACTATACCTTTAAAACGCAGTCTATTTTAAACCAGTTTAAAATAGGCTGCATTTTAAAGGTATGGTGGAGTTTATTAATTAATAATGCAGTTAGACTATATTTGTTCAATATAATGAATCAATGTGATTAAAATACAATCAGCAGAAAGTAGTTTGCAGAACATTATTCAACAGCAGCTATTAGCAGGTTTATTTTTCAGCTGGAACATGTTTATACACCATATTGACAGATGGTTTAAACCAGTGTTTCTCAACAGGGGCGATATCACCCCATGTGGGCATTTTTCCATGTTGGGGAGGCGATTAGTAAAAATTTATATTTTGGGGGCAAAAAGCAATTTTCTGCGCGATATAGTAAAAACATTATATTAAGAATAATTAGGACATTTTATTTGTTATATCGTACAATAATTAAACAAATAACATTATACTAGTCACTAGTCTATTCAATGCAATACAAATTTGGCATTAGTCTTGGCATCGTAATTTTGAAGCTTGATTGGCATCAGAGTTTTTTGAAGTGAAGGGGTGATACTACGTAATGGTTTTATTGAAAGGGCAACGATTCATTACAGGTTGAGAAACACTAGCTTAAACAGTGTGGAGGCACACGTCATAGTATTTCCAAAAAAAGTGAGGTGATTTGAGAAGGGTTTCTGAGAAGTATGTGCGAGTCCCAATTTAATGTGTTACGATCAGCATTACATTGTGTAGTAACAAAATGCTTTGTATCCTTACAAATTTCAGTTTTCACCAGAACTGAAGCCAGACAACAGGCAAAGTTGACAAGAATATGTTATGGAGATGCTGCCTTGTATTAACATAAATGCTGACAAATGCTGACTTTCTTGAAAAAATTTTATTCTCAGATGAGACTACATTTCATCTTTCAGGAACATCCAATCCCCATATGTTCAGATTTGAGGCTTGCAAAATCTGCATCCTATTATTAAACATGTTCAAGATACTAAACATTCAATTTCAGGCTATGGGCTAATGAAAGACATGTTAATTGGACTGTTCTCTGCTGAAAAACCAATAATGGTAAAATGTATCTTGATATGTTGGAACTCTTCTTGTATCCTCATATATTTGACTTGCAACCCAGCATCATCTTTCAGCAGGATGGAGCTTCCCATTGGACTATGGATGTTTGAAAGTTTCTAAATAACAAATTTCCTAATCACCGTAACAGATGCAACAGACCCATTTTCTGGGTCATTATGTTCCTAGATATTACCTCACTGGATTTCTTTTTTATAGGGTAATATAGGGATCCACTTTAATCACATACTTCACATATGTGAAAGCATGTGATTAAAGTGGATGACATCCCTACATTAAAAACTTGCATCCATAATGTGATTGATACAGTGACAATGAACATAATGGAAAGAACTTGGCAAGAAATTGAATACAGGCTTTATCTTATTTGTGCTACAAATGTTCACATATAGAGGTCTACTAAAGGATGCTAAATAAATGTTTTGATATGTTCTTGCATTTTGAGTAATTTTGTTTTCATATCCTTATAGTTTTCTTATTGTGATGTTATGTTATGGGAAGTTTGAAAGCGTTAAGTGTAAACATGAATAAACAGCATATTATACACCAAGTTTGATAACTCGACATATTTCATTGGTTTATTAATGGTAAGTTTTACAGTAATTAATTAAATTATAAAAATTATTTAAAGATTTACTGTATACAAGAGTTTAAAATTATCATGTACATTGTCACGATAATCAAAAACTAACAATAATAGACATCATAATTAGGCTACATTGTAATTGCATGTACTGTATAAGTAGTATATGCAATTAATACATTAAATTATATTAATAAAATATATTATAAATTATATTAATGTATTAATTAATACATTTAATATATGTAATAAAAACTTTGTCCTCACACTGACAATTTTCTTACTGCTATTCAAAGATGAAGATGACTATTAATAAGCTAAACAAAAGTCAAAAACTAGTTATAAAATTGTAAACAGTATTAAAAACAGTATAAAATTGCTTCTCTTTTATTTAATACAGCATTTGAATAAAAACTGATACACAGCAAAAATTATTTATAAATAAAATTTATGTATATTTTACTTTTATCAAATGTAATGAAATTATTAAAGTGACTAACTTCAAAAATAAACAAAAAAGGTTTTTACAACTCAACACAAAATTAAAAACAAACCTTTTAAATTATTTTGATTTTCATCATTTTTAAAATTTTTTGATAATTAAATATATGCTTTTCATGTGAATTAATAACTAATTCGTATTTCAAAATGGGTACCTGAATGTTATTTAAAATGGAGAATAAATAATTTTATACACAAAACTATTTAAATAAAAAAAAATACAAGTATCTTCATTCCTTTTTAATAAAACTTTTTCAAGCTTATGAGTTTAAATACATTAGTCTGCACAGTGAAAGAGTAGATGTGAGTCAGACTAAGCTGGAAGAGTATGTCAGATGAAAGGAATCAAAGGAGGCACGTGACTAACATTAGAATTAATAGTAATAAAATTATGATAGATGTGTAAAAACGTTTTCAAAATATAAAAATTAAAACAACAGAGATCAGATCCACGAATCAACTCCCAAGAGAATAGCCCCATGTCTCCTTCCATCCCGATGTAGACAGGCTGACTCATGTCTACTCTTTCACTGATGGATTAAAGCAGTGTTTCTCAGCCTCTAACGAATCATCGCCCCCTTCAATAAAACCATTACGTAGTATCGCCCTCTCCACTACAAAATTTTGATGACGAGGGACAAGGCTAACGCCAAATTCACACTGCATTGAATAGACTAGTGACTAGTATAATGTTATTTGTTTAATTATTGTACGATATAACGAATAAAATATCTAATTATTCTTAATATAATGTTTTACTATATCGCCCAGAAAATTGTTTTTTGCTCCCAAAAATATAAATTGTTACTAATCGCCCCCTCAACATGGAGGCAATATCGCCCCCCGTTGAGAAACACTGGATTAAAGTTATGAAATATAAATATTAGTTCTACCAATATGCATATTTTATTCAAATACATTTTATTCTTTTTGAATACAACATAGTTGAACAAGATAATTATTAGAATTATACAAAGCAGGAATGATGTAAATGTATTCAACTAAACAAAATATTTTTTTTGAAAATATTAAATTTTAAGATACTCTGAAAAGAACTTTAGAAGAGAAGTATAAACCTGTAAATTGATGATAATTGATAATGCATGTAAAATGTCAAATAACTGTCACACAATTCCTACTATAGAAAATTTAAAAAATATTAAAGACGTGAATAAATATGCATTTTTGAAAAACTGACAATTTTATAATTTACATTAAATGAAATGATAAAATTACAAATTACACAACTAAAAAAGTTTTGACATGTTCTTTTTTATTAATGCAAATTAAATATGTAACATTTTAAATACTTTAAATATATATTACATTAAAAACAGAAGTACTTAATACAAATGGAGAATTATTCATTCCAAAATTATCAAAAAGTATAGATTTATGACCATCAAATGCAGTATTGAAATCTCTATTTACAATTATTATTCTATTAAATTCTATTAATGCTGTGTGACCATGACCTCCAAAATTATTAAAGTAAACATATCATTTACCTACCGTTATAATTAACTGTAAATTTATATATATAAATCATAGTTTGTTTTTAATACATATACAAAGTATACGCATTAATTACGCATATTTTGAAGTAATAATCATTATTAATCATCATTAAATACCTTAATAATGTTATGAAAATCAATTGAAAAACAACGAAAAAATAGACTTTTTATCTCTTAACTTAAACATCAATTAAATGAATATTACTTACTTTAAAAATCCATTTCGTAAAAATATGACGAATTGCGGTGAACATCAATGCCATGAAGATAATAAGGAAAATATCATACAAATCAATACGGAAATATTTTAAGGCATCTTCGATAGTCGTTTTCGGGAAACTGTAATTATACCTATTTATATCTTCGATATTTTTTATACAAAATTTATACATCCCCAATACAACTTCATTATAAGTTGGTAAATCCTCCCATTTCTCGTCGCTTATCGCCATGTTTTCTTCTAACTCTGATCTGAAAATAAAACAATTACGCCATCTGTCAAACTTTTTTTTTTGTTTTTTTTTTTTTTTTCTTTTTTCTTTTTTTTAAATTCAACTTCAGATTTTAATGAAAAGAATTATTGTTTATTAAATTATTTGCTTTTTAATTTATTTTAAACAATTATTTATTAATTATTTGTCGTATTTTCCTAAAATATAAATTTAACTTATATTTAATAATATGTAAANAAACACTGTGAGAAGAGGCAATTTGCAACATTTTCACAGCAAACTTTTGAATTAAATTATGATGAAAGTTTTGTGAATATTGCAAGCTTCAGTGTAACAGTTAAACTTATCAAAATGAATGAGTAAAATTTATCCTGCCAGTATTTTGACTTTATTTAAATAAAAAAGCTTAACACTGCCATCTTAATCCACTTTATATATATATATATATATTTTTAATGTATTAATAATAACATCATGCTATTACTGATCTTGAAGCTAGTGACAATTTTTACAAGCAACTATAATTTCAAAATGAATTTGTCAATTTCTCCAATTAGTTAGTTTAGTTCACTTGATTAATACAATTGTATCTTGCATATTTTTTCATTATGTTTACAAAGAGAAGTGCTTTTGCAATTTAATGAGGGGATGGCACAACATTGGGGTCATCAATTTTGACCAAACTCGGTGAGGTTATAGTGCATCCCCAACAACTGACACATGCCAAGCAGTAAGGTGCAATATTCAAAATTAAAGGAGAAAATTCAGATTGAAAATTGCAAATCACTTAAAACCTTTAGAATTTCTGCCATTTGTATAGTGGCTTGATGGCATGCCAGTTTCATAATCATGAGGTTTGTGTTTCAAATCTCAGTGGTATTAACTTTTTTTTATACAAAATTATAATTTTCTTGATATTTTTAAATTTATAATATTGTCAGAGATAAAAACTGATTTATGTTTAGAAAATTACAAATATGCAATAAAATCCATTTATTTCAAGTAACAAGTCAATGTCAAAAGCAATTACCAAATGCTTCCTAACAATATTTATTTAAAAACAAAACATTTTCTGTATTTTTATGTACAGTATATATTTACTCTGGCAACAAAGTCATTGTTCAACCTAAATGTATATATAATTGTGTCTTCATTTGCTAAAAAATGAAAAGATGGCTTTGATATCTTGTGCTAATATCGATAGCATAGAAATTTGTTCTGCAGAAGAATCACTGCATGACATTATTACAAAATTTACATACTATGAAAGCATCCTTCAAAATCAAGGCCTAATTGCAGCTGAGGGTTCTTCAACACAGGACCTAATTTAGACCTTCGCGGGCCCTAGGCAAAATAATATTTACGGGCCTCTTTATAAATTTTGTATTACTACAAATATAAATAAAATTGTAATATTTAAAATTAAAGTATTTTTATTTTTACATTTGAATATCTTACTTATATTGTATTTTTGGGGCTACAATAAAACTATGCAGCAATAAACATTATATTTTTCTCAACAAACACTACTTTATTCTGAACTTCACCGAACAGATCTAATGCTCATATACAAACATCTAATTTTCAGTGATGTTGTTAGATGTCGGAGCAGTAGGTAATGTCATTCTTAATTATTAATCCTTGAATATGGCGCTAATAATATAGTAATTCGCAATACTAATAAAACAATGGCACGTTTAGAACCTATTACGGGCACCAATTAATTACGGGCCCCGGGCAAGTGCCTTGCCTGCCTTGTGCCAAATTAGGCCCTGTATACGATAAAATATATACAATATTTAATCTTTTGACAGCTAGATGTTTGAATAATAACTGTTTGTTACTTTTATGTTCGACAGTCAGGAGAATACAATATTGATTACTACTTTTCAAAATTATTCTTCGCTTGTTTTTTCGAAAACTCAGTAAAATTTAAATCGGTGTAGATGTAGTAAACAGTTAACAGCGTAAAATATATCTCAGTATCTAATGTAGAAAATCTGAAATATGCATGGGCGTAGCCAGGAAGGGGCATGGGTGGGCACGGCCCCCCAGTTAACCTGGTGCCCTCCCCAGAAAATTACAGCCGAAAAAGTGTTGAGCCGATTTGCAAAAAGAAATAAAAAGTTGAAGTTAATTTAATTGGGTGTAGTGTACCGCGGATCGCAATTAATCTCTGAATATTGGACTTCAAATAATTGCTTGAATGGATCCGCGATAATTCTTTACATCCTCACAATGTGAAGGTATAGGAGAGTTGAGAAATTCTGATCCCTAAAAAAAAGTCAATGGTTCTCTATGTCCGATGTGAAGAAAAGTGTATCTGTAATCTCTATATACAGTCTAGTCTCTCTACAGGGTGACGCCAAAATAAGATCGCGCATCACCTGAAAATCTTGCTAGGGTCGCCTCTGGTTCGGGCAGTGAAAAAGTTTTCTTTCCAATTCGGCCCGGAGGAAAAAATTGTTGGCCACCCTGGTCTATATCTAGATTAAAGACGGTGAACTATATTAAAGAATGGTTTAAAAAAAATAATTGATTGGTTAATTTTTGTTTAAGGCATTGCTAGAGTTTGATATTAATGTTACGAGAACGTATGATTAAAGAAAGTTTCATATTTTATGTGTTAAGTTATTGTTGATTTTTATGGAAATTTCATTTTAACGAACAATAATTTGAAATAATTCAATTTTGTGTCAGGTTGGCCTCTACTAGGACTCCCATAACAAAACTCTGGCTACGCCAATGGGATAATTTCGGGAAAAATTAGGACTGATAGAAACTTGAAATTATTACTTTAATAATTTAAAATGTAATAGATAATTACAATATTTTATTGAAATTTACAAATCTTGTTTATTTTATTTAACAAAAAATTATTTACAAATTTAACAATTGTTTTGAACTAAAGAGCTCTTATCAAATTTAGTAGTTTTTAAATTAATTAAGAAAAGTATCAAAAATTAAAAATCAAATTTTGATCCGAAACGTCGAATAAGTAATGTTGGGAAAATGTGATTATTATCGACGGCCGAATGGTCATGGTGGATTTTTTTAACTCTTTCCTCCCTGTGGTCACTAAAAAAGTTCGTTTTTTTTTAGTAAGCCCAATATGGGTTTGGCAGGTCCACAATGGAGCGGTCGTGTGATGAGACGGGACCCAACATACCAATAGATTAACCCCCGTAAAATTCCTGAGGTTTTTCGATTCGCACGAATTCGATTCCGGGCCTCCAAAACGGTAGGTTGCCACGTTAACAGCTCAGCCACCCGGCCTTCGGCCAAGGTGGTTAAAGCATCAGCCTACCGCTCCGGAAGATTGATATCACATCCGGAGGAGCAACCCAAGAAAATTATCATCGATGATCTGTGCCCACCCGAACGGTAGCACTGAATGAAATGTCGGGGGACGAGCTAATGATAATGAATAAGAAAAATTTCTCTACAGTACTCGTTTATACTTTCAATTTTTGTAGTGTGGTATAATATAAATGTACGTTTGGAGGAAACAATTTCCTAATATAAAAACATTGATGGGATGTCCTCTCTATCCCATACGAATCGACGCCAATGAAATAAAAGATAAGGGCCTATGGAGATTTGGGACACTAAGGAGTTGATTTTCCTGAAATTTTACATAAATAAAAACACTACTAAAAAGTTTTAATTTGTCATTCCTAATAATTTGTTAACCTTTTGCTCTGCACACAGGAGCGGATCTAGATTTTTCGGGGCTTATTGAAGTCCAGCGGTGCTCCATTTTTGTTAATACAAATAATACTATAAATTATTATTATTATATTAATATTAACTATTTTTTATTATACGATAAGTGCTCACTGTTAATGAAAAAGTATTAAAAATTTCTGATAATAATTCAATTTTTGTGAGCCCTTGACACTTGAGGGCTCTTAAGCCCTATTGGTTCCTATGTAGATCCGCCCGTCTAGGTATGCAAAATAATTATATCAGTTTTGAAATATACAATGCATGATCACAAACGATCCAAAATAAAATATTGAAGACTAGATCAAGGAAAATTACAAATGTTCATACGTTTATATGATATTTATATTTATAAATGTAAATATAATAAATATTTATTATATTAAATATAGTTTTATAAGTAAAGAGAAATATACCGGTATCGTTACTGTTCGTAATTACCGATCTAATTACGTAATAAATTATATATATATATGATAATTAGTCACTGATTGTATATAGATAATTAGTCACTGATTGTATATATATACAATNTTACAAATTTTGTATTACTACAAATATAAATAAAATTGTAATATTTAAAATTAAAGTATTTTTATTTTTACATTTGAATATCTTACTTATATTGTATTTTTGGGGCTACAATAAAACTATGCAGCAATAAACATTATATTTTTCTCAACAAACACTACTTTATTCTGAACTTCACCGAACAGATCTAATGCTCATAAACAAACATCTAATTTTCAGTGATGTTGTTAGATGTCGGAGCAGTAGGTAATGTCATTCTTAATTATTAATCCTTGAATATGGCGCTAATAATATAGTAATTCGCAATACTAATAAAACAATGGCACGTTTAGAACCTATTACGGGCCGCAATTAATTACGGGCCCCGGGCAAGTGCCTTGCCTGCCTTGTGCCAAATTAGGCCCTGTATACGATAAAATATATACAATATTTAATCTTTTGACAGCTAGATGTTTGAATAATAACTGTTTGTTACTTTTATGTTCGACAGTCAGGAGAATACAATATTGATTACTACTTTTCAAAATTATTCTTCGCTTGTTTTTTCGAAAACTCAGTAAAATTTAAATCGGTGTAGATGTAGTAAACAGTTAACAGCGTAAAATATATCTCAGTATCTAATGTAGAAAATCTGAAATATGCATGGGCGTAGCCAGGAAGGGGCATGGGTGGGCACGGCCCCCCAGTTAACCTGGTGCCCTCCCCAGAAAATTACAGCCGAAAAAGTGTTGAGCCGATTTGCAAAAAGAAATAAAAAGTTGA